CTGTTCCCTCCAGCCGGCATGTCCCCACGGGCTCCGGGACTCCGAAGGCCCATCCTCCCCAGGCTTGCAGAGTCTAGAAGATTTTGAGCTGCCCAGAAAGCAGCCACATGCCGCCTGCCTGGCTGTAGCCAGGACGTTCGTGCCTCTTTCTGTCTGGGGAGCCTCTGATCTTCCAGTTCCTTCCTTTTTCTCTGACAGGAGTCCTCAGGGACTCCTGTCTCCAACCCCAGGCAGCCTGACATGCAGAGTGGAGAGTTTGGGGGTCACAGAGACCTGGGCGTGGGGCCTTGCTCTGCACCTTCCTAGCTGTGTGACCCTGAGCAAGTCACCGACCTTGCTGGGCCTCCCTCCCTTCCCTTCCCTCTGCTGGAGCCTCTGCTGAGAGGAGAAGCCTGGAAGGCTGCGCATCTGAGTCTGCAGGATGCAGGGGGACCTCTCCCTACATGGCCACAGGGCTTCCCAGAAGCTGCATGTAATTGAATCCCATTTTCCGCACTCTAGGGGGCTGACAGTTGAAAGGAACCCACCCGAGGGCCCCGCTGAGATAATGAACGAGGAAGCCCACATGCAAATGGGCCACAGACACCAGCCCGCCCCTGCAGTTTTTAAACCTCCTTAAGGCTGGGCGGCCAGACCTACACATGGGGAAGCGCCTGCCCCTTTGCAACGCCTGGGAGAGCGCTGGCGAGGTTGACAGTGATGAGTGCGTGCCCAGCAGGGTCCTGGGACCCTGCACTGTCATCCGCGCTTCTGTCACCCGCCCCCCGCTGGCACCCACACTCAGTGACACTCTGGGCGTAGGGCGCAGCGTGAAGACATGAAGGCACCTGAAGACGCCAAGAGCCGCGTGTGCCACGTGCGCACAGGGACTGTTATCAGCAGGGAGAAAGCAGAGTGGGAGCTTGGGGCCAAGTGGGATCACGCCCCCCACCAGCCCCTGCCTGCCTCCCGCTGTCTCAGACCCCACAGGGAAACTGAGGCTCAGAAGAGTGAAGCTCAGCCTGCCCCGTGCACACAGCTAGGAAGCTGCAGAACTGTGCTTCCAACCTGCGTCAACCACAAAGCCTGTCCTCTGACAGCGTGTGGCCTCAGAGTCCTCCACTTGTCCCCTCCCTCCAACCCCTCTGCCCCCCCCACCACGCCCCTCACCTAGGTGGCTCTCCTGCCTCCCACCTCCTCTGCTTTGTTCCATCCTTGACCCATCTGCAGAGGTGTTTTTCCCACAAAAACCCTGCATGCGTTTCTGTCCTAACTTTGCCCAAGAACCTTCCGTGGCTCCCCATTACTTCTAAGAATCAAGTCAGAAATCCCCAGCCAGGCACAAAATACCTCAAGCATCTGGCACCATCTCGCCTGTATGGTCTCACCTCTCCTTCCTCCCCTCACAGACCCTCAGCTCCAAGTGGGCTGATCTGCCAGCCCCTCCTGTGAGGAGCCTCCCCAACCACAGTTCCTTACCTCCTACCCTCTGAACCCCATGTGTAGCAGCCAAAATAATGATTCCCCTAACAGGTCCACATCCTATTCCCCAGAATCGTAAGTCTCTTGTGTTACACGGCAAGGGGGAATTAATTAAGATGGAATTAAGGCTGCTCATCGGCCGACCTTAAAATAGGGAGAGTTGCTTGGATTATCCAGGTGGGCCGGATGTCATCACAAAAGCTCTTAAAAGTGGAAGGGGGAGGCCAAGGAGAAGATCAGAATGATGCAACGTCAGGAGGGCTCGGCTGCCTCCATTTTCCCGTCCACAGGAGCAGCAGAAGCCAGCCTCACAGGCTTGCCAGGAGGGCTGAGGAATATCAAGCGCGGGGTGACTGCTGTGGCCTCACCACCTGCGTGATGGCAGGAGCATCTCGTCTGAGGGCAGATATTAGCATCTTCCGAGGTTTTCTTTTCTCCTGATGGCACATCCCAACTCCCACCGAGCGACAGTCTCTGTGTTTCTAATCGTTTTATAAGCAGGGTCTTGTCTCCACACATAGGCTGTTAACACCCCAGGGCTGGGACAGCCTTCATCATGGGTTTTTTAAAAAAATCATTCTTACTCTTGATGATAACAATAGCGAGGATTATTCCAATGGCTCTTGACCAGGGTTGATTTTGTCCCCAAAGGACATTTGTCAATGTCTAGAGATATTTTTGGTTGTCACAACTGGAAGGAGCTGCTGGCATCTAGTGGGCAGAGGCCAGGGATGCTGCGAAACATCCTCCGATGCGCAGGACAGCCCCACTACAGAGAATCGTCCAGCCTCCAATGTCAACAGCGCAGAGACGGAGAAATGGGGGGTTGTTCAGACACGCATCATGCGCTAGGCCAGTTTTAGATATTTTGTATCATGAGCTGTTAACCTTGGAACAACTTTGCAAGGTGGCATTAACATCCAAAAGATAAAAGTCAAGCTCAGAAAGGTCTAGGAACTTGTCCCAAATCACACAGCTGGAAAGAGGCCTTGCCCGGACTCCTCACGAGACTCCACTGTCTGCTCAAAAAGCCTGGGAGGGCCCTCCTCCTGCAGATTATGCAGTCAGAGCTGGGCCGAGCATCTATGGGAACTGATGAAGACCCTGGCACCCGGGCTCATCCCATCCCATCAGAGGTGACGCCTTTCCTAGGGGCGTCCTCCACTTTCAGGACAAAAGTGTTGCACAGGAAAGTCAGCTTTTCAAAGATGTCACAAAGAAAGCACTCCCTGTTTTATAAAACACCTCATTCGGTTAGCTGCTTGGTCAGTTGGCGAGTCAAGCTTTACTGAGCACCGTGTGCCGAGCACTGTGTGGGGCTCTGACACGCTTTCCTGAGTCCTGTGGACTCCGTGGACCACGCCCCTGAGGAGCTGGGGGCCAGCACAGCAGGATGGTTACGAGCACGGGCTCTGAGTCACACAGTCTGAGCGTAAAACTAGGCCCTACTAACCTACTAGTTGTGAGGCCACGGGCAACTTAACCTCCCAGGGCCTCGGATCCCTCAGCTGGACCATCACAGCCCCTTCCTCACAGGGTCGGTGTGGGCTAAATTTGCACAGTGCCTGGCACACGCCATAAATGTTAGCTCTTGGCATTGTGACCTGTTAACGAGTAATAGGGAGAAGTCAGGATGAATGTGGGACCCCTCTCCATCTCCCCCCATCCCTCCTGGGTCTCTGAGGGTCGACTCAGCTCCCTCACCCTCCCTGATGTGCAAGCTCCGGGCATTGGGCAAAGTGAGAAGAAACGTAAAGGGGAGACTCCTTTGGACGGACATGTTAAAGCTGGACCACAGGGAACACAGCTACTTTTGGGTTACGTTATCATCACCCCATTGTACCAGTGAGGAAACTGAGGCTTAGAGAAGGGAAGTGCCTGCCCGTCCCCAGGTCACAGGACAAGACAAGGGCACAGGGGAGCTCAACCTTGGGCTGCCTAACTACAATTTTCCACTCTCCAAAAGCAGCGTGTGAGTCTCCCTTTCGCACAAGCAGTGGTGGAGGGAGTCAGTTTCTCTGATGCATCGGCAATAGGATTTGGGTCACAAAGAAATAGCAGGGCGGACACACTTGGCTGCAGTAAGAGCTGCTAGGACCTTTCCTGGCCCCCGTCGCCCCTGCCACGGTTTCCCTCCGGGGAGAGCCTCGGGCTGCCACTGGATAAACTTTCCTATTAAACCGGACCCTGGTTCAAGAGCTCCCACCGGGCCGCAGCGCCCAGGTCTCCTGGCATTGCCCTGGCACGGTCCTCCCCCTCCCGCCTCTGAACCCCTTGAATGAGCTGCCATCGGGGGAGAGCGGCCACCACTCCTGCACTGGAAGATGAGCAGGGTGGGCAGACCGCCCAGCAGATCAAAGAACCCGAAGCACTGATGCGTGTCTCCTATGCACCCAACCCCTGCTCATGAACTGTGCAGGTCCTCAGCCGCACCGTCCTTCAGGCAGCCGCCGCCTGTCCAGCCCCTCTTTGCCGTATGCCCCAACCCAGCTGCAAAGAAAAAACATCCAAGTTCCAGAGTGACTGACAGACCTGAGTTCTAGTTACATCTCCATCACGACTAGCTGTGCTACCCAGGCCAAGTTGCTCAACTTCTCTGAGTTCAGCAGGAGGCATAAGGCATAAGTGATGCCTTAAGTTCCCTGTGAGGACTAAGTGGATGGGAAAGGGACCTTGTAGACGGCATGGTCTCGCACGGACAACTAGTGCGACCCTTGGCTCCTGCTGTCCCATGTCCTGTTCTAGGTCAAGGCCGCAGAGAGGAGGGCGGAGGAGGGAGATGCTCAGGGGACCCTTTTTTCTTCAGTGACATCTGTTTGCTTAAGGAGGGTGATGACACTCCCCAGGACGCCCTCGAGGTGTAAATATTTACCGATGGAGGGCTGTAGGAGGACCGGGCCCCGGACAGGGGTGAGGCCCTGAAGAACATCCCCAGCTCAGAGGGCGGAGCCGGGGAGGCGGGAGAGGCCGCGAAGGGAGGCGGAAAGGAGAGGAGAAATCACACACAAATATTTGCTGAAGGAGAACAAATTCCACAAGTGGCAGAACTATTTTAGAAATGTTCTATTTGCACAAGAGTCGGCCATGCGGGCACCGCGGCCCGGAGGGCGGGTGGAGACTGTCTACACAAATGCACACACAGGGCCCACCGCCACCTGAGGAGTCAACTCACCGCTGGGCTTCGGCTCCTGGACGCTTCCTTTCCATGTGACACGTAATTCAGGAAGTTAAGAGCAACGGATGGTCATTCCTGAAGCCCAGCCCGGTGCCAGCGCCTCCACGTGGCATTCCACGTAACCCCGGAGGCAAGTGTGGCTCCTGGCCCCACCTTTCCACGGAGGCCCTGGGCAGCCACCGCCCATTCACCCAACACCTGTTCCCTGGGCGCCTTTGGGGGCCAGGCCCTGCTGCACGTTCCAGGAGGGAGCGGTAGAGGAGTGAGACAGACGGCAATTCAGAGCATGACACCAGCAACGAGAAAAGTGGGGTGATCAGGCAGGGCACGAGGGGTGGCGAGAAGGGGGTGGTTTAGGGGGATTGTGACCCAGGCAGGGGACTCTGCAGGTGCAAAGGCCTGGAGGCTGAGCTGAGGACACTGGCGATGAGGAAGGAGGGCAGAGTCCCTGGGATGGCTACAGTTAAGGGGACCACAGCGGGGGGTCAGGGAAAACCATGTAGCCCAAGGCCACTGTGCATAAGGCAGGGGCGCGTTTGACCCTGGTCTGAGTCCAGGCTGTTTTACACAAAGGTTAGAGGACAGGATTGCAGCAGGAGAGAAGGACAGAGACAGAAGCCTGGGCTGAGATGCCCAGGGCAGGTGGGACCCAGGTCTCGTGGGAGCCAGCCCCGCTCTGATTGCCCCACAGGACCAGGCACTGAAAGGGGATCCCGCGGGGGGCTCAGACAAGCCCTGAGGAAGCCAAAGGGCCTGATTGCCTCCACGTGGCCTTGTCTGTGCAGGGATCAGAACAGCCTCTCTCCTCACCACCCCCCGCCTTGGTTTCTCCCTCCTCCCTAGAGAGAGGCGCTCATCCTTTTGACCCACCCTGCAACAGCTGCCAAGCCCGGCCCAGAGCCCCGCCCACCAGTCCTGAGAGCCTGGCCGGCCTCTGCAAGGGGACCAGGGACACAGACCAGCTAACAAAGGAAAGGGGGCAGCAAGGCAGGGACAAAAAGCACAACCCAACATGGAGATGAACGAGGACACAAGAGCCACCCTCCAGGAGCTCCATCCGCCTGGAGGCTGCCCTGCATGAAGCGGGCATGGAGCTCATGACGCGTCCGAGGAAACTGGAGAGGGCAGATCAACCGTCGTCTGAAACAACAGGCCGCCTCCCTCACCATCAATGCACAGCTTGGCGTTGGCAGCACTGCCTGGCGAGGGGGCCAAGCCTGTTCCACCTGCTGAGGGTAATCTCCCCACACTGAGACCCACTAAGTTTGACTTAATAGTCCAGTTGCCATGGCAACCCTCACTGCTGGTTCTCCCCATGTCATTCTTCATCGCAAACCCTGCTAGGAACTTCTTGCTTCAATTGGAAACTTATGGTTGCCAAGGCAACCCCCTTAAGGCGCCCTGAGGATGCAGGTGGGCTGCAGGTGAGGGTGGGATCTGCCCACTGAGGCTGGGATGGCTGATGGTGGGCAGAGCCGGGGAGGGCAACCGTGGCGTGAGGTGAATAGGTTTGGGCCAGAAGAACATGAGGGCAAAAGGGGGACTCTGGAAAGAGAGGACAATGGCCTCCACAAACGCACTCACTCATTCACTCCTTTACCTGCTTGTAAGCCGTTCATTCACTCGCTCACCTGCACAGTCCGCCACTAGAGCCCCTGTTCCGTCTTCCGGCTCTCTTGTTTCCCGCAGGCTGGGTGGATGGAGGAGTGGGCAGAGCCCTCCACACACGCACACAGCCCACATGGAAAAGCAGGAACAGAAGGAGCACCGGCTTGGAGTCAGACAGACCTGGGTTTCATTTAGATTCCTGACTCTCCTCATTTATCAGTAGAGGTAAGAACAGACCCTGCTTCTGAAGATATTGGGTGCAGGAAACAACCTGAGTCTCCATAACAACGCCCTGAGACAGGTCTGCACCTGAGAGGTACGCGGGCAGCAACCATGGGCTCTGGGTCGGTTCTCCAGTGGAGGCAGGGGGCCTCCAAGGGCTCTGCACAGGGTCGGGGGATGGGGCAACGCAGAAATCAGGTCTGGGCCCAGACGGAGGCCAAGGGTGGGAAGGGCCTCCCTCACTTGAGAGAGAAAGAGAAAGAGCCCCACGAAGGGATGGGGCAGGGGAGGGGGGACAGTGACGACACCACAGGACACAACAACATTCCAGGAGGGCCCCCCAACCCAGCTTTCCAGGCACAGTCTCACTTTATCCCAAGAACCCCACGAGGCAGCTTTCTTCCCCCCTATTTTGCAAAGTAGGACACCAAGGCTCAGAGAGGTGGAGTAAGGTCACCCAGCAAGTAAGCAAGTTGATCCAGAATCAGCCGTGGGCCACGTTCCTTCCAAATGCCCCATTTAATTCTCACAACAGTCCTAAGGGCAGTTCCGTTATCCCCACCCCTCTGACGGAGAAACAGGGAGGCCAGGTGGCTCAGCTGGGATCTCACAGCTCCACCAGGTGGAGCCTTCCCATGCCCTGCTCAGTCTAAACTCCCAGACCTTGGACCGGAGACTGCCCTTTCCAGTCCAGAAGCCACCACGGGGAAGAGGGGTGGGAGAGGAACCCACGCAGATCCATCCTTCTCCCAAAGAATGGCTTTGCTGGGACCTGGGCCTGGCCCCGGTCAGGGTGGGGGTGTGGGGAGGGGCTTGTGCGGGGGCAACCGAGCTCCTCCAGCCACACTGAGGGTGGACTCGGGGCTGGGAGGCCAGGCAGGCAGCTGGGACAAGACAGCCCGTTTCCTGCTCCTTCACGGGAATTCTCAATACCAGACGTCCGGGCAGCACAGAACGGACCAGAAGCCCCCTAGAAGTGTGAGGACTGAAGGTGGCGGTGAGAAGGAAGAGCGTGACCCTGGGAAGTGGGGAGTGTGTCCCCCACCCCCGCTCACCCGTCAGAGGGGAAACCACGGCTCAGAAACAAGTGACACATCCAAGGCTCACAGTGACCACAGGCCACGCAGACCCGAGACTCAAACCAGGTCTGTGTGGCCCTGCCCCAGGCTCCTCCAGCTGCAGGGGCCCGTTCTGGGTCTGAGCCCCTCTCCTCCTCTCTCCCCTGGCTGCAGGCCTGCAGCTGCGTGTCCTGCCACCAGCTCTGCCTTTGTCCTCAAACCCAACAGCCCTCGTCCTTCCCAGGAATCTGCCCCCTGCTCTCCTTCCCACCCGGAACATTCTTCCCCTAGATGGCCACTCACACTCCGCGCAGGACTTTGCTTAAACGCCCCCGCCTCGGAGAGGCTTCCTCTGACCATCTTTCCTGAAATAGGCACCCCCTTTGCTCAAAATAGTCAGTTTTGGGGGTGGGGGATGAGGTGCCCGACAAGTGAGACATGACGGCCGTGCTGGGTGATGGGTACCTGAGGATCCATTGCTCAGTTCTCTCTGCCTATCCATATGCTTGAAATTTCCCATAACAAAAGTTTAAAAAATAATAAATAGAAATCAACACTCCTTCCACCTCGCTCCATCCCATTTCCCTGGTTTATCTTCCTCCACAGTATTTGACCCCACCTGACATCCGTCACGTGCCCATTTGACTGTTCGGAGGCAGCCCCGTGACAGCAGGGGTCTGGCTGAGTCGCATCTGCACCCCACGGTCTGCCTCAGCAGCAGCCACACGGCCGGGGCTCAGTGGAGGTCTGCCAGTTCCACGAAAGAATGAAACACAGCAGTGGAGGCGAGTCAGAGCTACTGGAAGGGCAGGGGTCCGAGGCTTTGGGCCCGGGCCTGTCTTCATCACAGGTGTGGGACCGAGAGGGGCACAAACTTATGCTTCACGTAGTCATTCAACAAATGTTTAAGGACACGCCTTCTTGCCAAGTCCTGTGCTGGCACTCAATGTGCCAAGTGGAGTCTCCGGAGAGGCCCCTGACTGCATGGGAGACGTGCTGGGGGCTGGGGGACCCTTGGAAGGAGAACCTCACCCAGTCTTGGGCCTCAGGGAGGGTTTCCTAAAGGAAGTGATGTCTGAGTTTAGTCTCAGGATGAGTAGCATTTAGCCAGGGGAGGAGGAAGCGTGTCCCAGGCAGAAGACACAGCACAGCCAATGGCCCAGCGTAGGACGGAGCGTGAGCACTGGGAGAACCGCCCTGTTCCAGTGTGGCTGCGGCAGAGAGCGCGAGGGAGGCCAAGGCGGGAGTGCTCAGAACAAACCAGAGTGTGGAGGCCCTGTGGGCGGGCAGAGGAGCCTGGGCCCCGTGCCGAGGGTGATGGAGAGCACACCCTGCACTGTCCCGCCTGCCCCCGGTCAGTCCCAAGGACACAGCAACTCATTTCCATTTCTGGGCTTTCATGCTTGTTGTTCCCTCTGCCTAGAAAGCTCTTCCCTGACTCTCCACCCTGGCTCGCCTCCTCCTTCCGGTCTAGGCAGGAGGATGGGCTGCTGAGAGGCTGACCCTGGGCAGCCAAGAGCAGTGGACGCCTCCAGGACTACACGTCCCAGCACCCTCTCTGGGTCCTGCAGCGTCTGTGGCAGACGGCTTCGCGGCTCCCAGTTCTCCGCCTCCCGCAGCCACAACCTTCTCTCAGTGGCTTTGTGCGATCGCCCACCAGGGATGGTGCATTCTCCCACCACACTGACTAGGGCCTTGACCCTGAGACTTGCTTTGGCCAGCGGGATGTGGGCAGAGGTGAGAGAGCCCCAGTTCTGAGCCTTAACAGGCACTGCAGGTTCCTCTTTGCCGCCTTGCCCTCCCACCATCCTCATGGGACAGAAATGTCCCAAGTCGCCCAAGGATGAGGCCTGCGGAGCAGCCCTGGAGCAAGCCCCCCTGAGCCCAGCTGGATCCCGTGATCCCCAGCTGATCTGCAGACTTGTGAGCGAGAACAAATGGTTGTTGTCTGAAGCCACTGAGTTTGGGGTTGTTTGTTAGGTGGCATTATTGTGACAATAGATGACTGATACACAGTATTTATACTCTGGTGGTTCTACCTGTTGAGTCCTCATGGTCTTATCCCACGCTGGACCACAGGACCCTCGTCGGCCTCATTCGCTGCTGTGTCTTCAGCACCTGGCACAGTCTGGTGGGTGGAGAACTTCAAATACGTGTTGAGGGAGTGAATGAATGAATGCAACGTCCCCAAGGGTCTTAAAAAGCAATGGCTGAGCAGACCTGCAGGTTAGGAAGATGAGTGGCTGCTGTAAGAGGAAACGGAGGCAGTGGGCAGCCTTCGCAGGAGGGCCAGTGAGGAGGCCCTTGTCATGGTCCAGACGGGGACAAAGATGGCCAGGACTCCAGAATGAGCAGAGAGAATAACCACAAAGCTGATGTAGCCCGTCCTGTAGGCCAGGCTCTGATACAGCCACCTCATAAATCCTCACAACCACCATACAAGGCCGGTACTTTGATGGTCCCTACTTTTGAGAAGAGGAGGGGCCCACCTGGTGGTGCAGCAGTTAAGTGCGCACATTCTGCTTTGGCGGCGTGGAGTTCGCCAGTTCGGATCCCAGGTACAGACATGGCACCGCTTGGCAAGCCATGCTATGGTAGGTGTCCCACATGTAAAGCAGAGGAAGATGGGCACGGATGTTAGCTCAGGGCCAGTCTTCCTCAGCAAAAAGAGGAGGATTGGCAGCAGATGTTAGCTCAGGGCTAATCTTCCTCAAAAAAAAAAAAGAAAAAGAAGAAGAGGAAACTGAGGCACAGAGAGTCAGTAACCTTCCTGGGCAATGCAGCAAGTGAGCAGCGGCTCCCAGCCCAGCTGTCCGGCCCTGGAGTCCCTGCGCTGACCCCTCCACCATGCCCTTGCCTCCTGTCTCACATTTCAGAGCAAAGATCAGTGGGACCCCAAGCCGTTGATGGCATCGAGGGGGGCCGAGAACTTCGCCCCCAGCATGTGTGGGAGGAGGGGGTGGGGAGGAAACCAGGGAGAGAGTATGGTTGCTTTTTGTGGTTTAATTCAACCTGCTGGGTCGCGCCCCTGGATCAGCTATGGAGCACAAATGCCAGGTCCCAGAGGCCACCTTCCCCGGGGTGAACTGGGGGGAGGCAGAGAGGCGGGGGTTTCGGCAGCCCACGCAGCTGCCCTCCCACTCTCTCCTTCCTTTTCCCCCCAAAGAGTTTGTGGACGGTTCATCCAAAAGAGCTGATGACCCGGGTGTGGACCACCACACTCTTCTCCCAGGACTAGAGATGAAGCAGACAGAGAGCTCCTCAGTGACGGAATCTCAGGCAGAGGCAGGGGCAGCGAGGCAAACCCGGCAGGGGAAGGGGGTCCCTGGGGAGGCGGAAACAACGCATGTGGGTTGGGAACCCCCATTCGTGCGCGGAGGAAGCGTGGCGAGCAACGCTCCCATCTGCTCAGCTCTTTGCAGTTTACAGAGCGCTTTCCTACACGCCTCCAGGGCCAGTGCCCACGGCAACCTCGCAGGAGGCTGTCCTCCCCACGGAGGCCTGAGAAGACTGAGGCTGTTGACTTTTCGGAGCACACACAGCCTTGAAGGACCAGAGTGGGGACCGGGGCTGGTCTGATCGCCACCTGAGCTGGCTCTGCTCCACCGACGTGGAGATCACTTCCAGGAGCTGGAGACTCGGGGCAGGCTGGTGTCCTAAGGGGTAGGGGGGGTCAGCCCACGCGGGAGCCTGGTGACCCCCTGGGGAGTCCGGGCACTGGGAAGGAGGTCGGTGCCCTGTGGATTTGTCTCCGTGGAGGGAACCACAATCTTTAGAACGAAGCTCACCTTCAGAAAAGACTCTCAGAAAGAACTCGGGTTATAAAGATGCTCGGAGGACGGAGGTGAGAGGACGATTAAGAGGTGAGGGGGCGAGGTAACCTCATGCGGAAAAGCTGCTCAGGCCGGGCCTTGAGGAGAAGCCGGTGCGGAGAATTCTGCCGGCAGAGCTCAGGGAAGCTCCCAGCTCCTCACCACCCTCTCCCCGCTGAGACAGGCAGCGCTCCCTTCTCGAGGCACCCTGGACGGACCGTGCTCTGCACACATTGCATCACTCGTTGGTGATATTCTGCTTGGTGGTTTCTGTGTCGGCCTCGCCTACTAGACTTGGCGCTGCCCTCTCATTCATTCGTTCACTCATTCCTTCACCCACAGGGTGCCTAGCAGTACTGGGTGCTGGAGATCCAGTGACAGGCGGGATGGACAAGGTCGTGTGGATAGTGGTGTGAAGGGTCAGGAGAGAGGGCTTTCCTGTGGCCCCACACCTGGACACCTGGCTTTCTCGATGAGGAATCCAGGTGCTAGAATCTTCCAGCCAAGAACTTGTTACAGTGGCCCCCTTCCTGTCCCCACAGCAGCCTGGCTTTCCCCCACTGCAGCATTGTTCCTTCGGCTCCAGACGTTGCTTCCTGTTAAATTCAGATCTGCCCACCACAGAGGAACACAGTGGCCTTGTCCATCAGGACTCCTGGTTTGTTCTTGGTTTTATCTGTTCCAGCACCTAGTCCAGAGCCTGGGAGGTGTTTGATGAGTGGACACAGACGAATGAGTACATATCTAGGTGAATGCCTACTAGGTGCTGGGCATGGGGCGAGGCGATGGAGATATGGAGGTGGATCGGACACACTGTCGCTGGCCTCGACAGGCAGAGGTCAACGAGGTGCAACACGATGCAATCAAGAACCACCGTCGATGTGCTCGCTCCGATATTCTGAGTATCATTAACCACAAAGAGCATCTGCTGAGCTGAAGTAGACCAAACGCCAAAACCGTTTCCACAAGCCAGTCAAACCGTCTGACACAGGGTCGCCTTTCCCGTTAGTGGCCCAGAGGTGCGTTAGGAGGGAGAGACACAGCAGGGTCTCAATGTCCGTCACTCTTATTCCCACCTCACAGTGAGACAGCTGAGGCTTGGGAAGGTCACATAGCTGGGAGAAGGCAGAGCTGGGGAGCAAACTCAGGCCGATGAGCCGCCAGTGTGTATGTCCTTCGACGACAGCCCAGCTCCTGGCTTCCCCAGGCAGTTGGAGAAGGCCCATCTGCAGCAGGACAGAAGGAGCCCAGCCCAGAGACACCCAAGGCCAAGAGGTGGGGACCAAACAGGGAAACAACAGCTTCCTCGGGGCCCTCCCAGCTGATGTCACTTGTGGGCCCGAAGTAGATCACGTGGTCCCCCTAGCTGCAAAGGAGTCTGGGAGGTGGGTGTGTTCCCTGGGCTGCCACAAACACACTTGAGTTCTTTTGAAAGGAAGCAGGAGGATGGACACGGGTGGGTGGGCAACTTGGCTGTGCCTGCCTCATTTTTGATGATGACGAGGAAGACGACAATCACTACCGTGATCATCATTGTTATGGCCATTCCCTGCCTGTCCCCAGCACACCCCCAGCCCCATGCCAGGAAGGCACTGTCCCCCGTGCAGCCCACCACACACACACAGAGACCCTGCAGGAGGGACTCCCTGAGCCCCCAGTGCAGCCACTCAAGGCACAGGTCACAGGGGCCCCTTGCCAGACTTGGGACCACTAGAGCCCAGGGCCCCAGGACGTGTCCAGACGGGTCCCAGCCCTGCCCCTCCACCAGCTGCCCCAGCAGGGACAGCTATTTTGGGAGCAGTTGGCTGGCAGGTGGCACCTCGTGACAGCAGTTCTCACTCGAGCCAGGCGGACCCTGGCTGATGCCCTCTGCTCTCTCCGCCTCCCCTTCTCGCTGCCTGGCAGCCCTCACTCCCCAGCCTCATGCCCCCCTGCCCCCTCTCCCACCATAAACCCCTCCCAAGCTCCTCTCCTCTCCTCTCTCTCTCCTGCCTCCCAGTTCCATTAAATCCAATGTCCCCTGCATCCCGAACAAGGAGCACAGCACTGATGCTGACACTGGGGAGCCTCTCCTGTCCGCCAGGCACCAGGCCACTCCTTCACCGCAGCATCTCATTTCACCATCAAAGCGAGCCTGTGAGGCAGGCCCCATCCCGGCCCCGTTTTACAGACGTGGAAACTGAGGCATGGAGAGGCGAGTCATTGGCCCAAGACCACAGTAACAGCAAAGCAGGGATTCAAACCCAGATGTTCTGGCTCCTTCACCTCCAGGTCCATGGCCCACCGCTCTCGCCAAGGGCCCGCGTGGGGCTTGAGGGACACAGAGCTGAAGAAGGAGCAGCAGCTGCTCTTGAGCTCACAGTCCAGTGGGGGCACGGCGAGGAGTCGGCCGCCTGGATGGATGTGGGCACCTGCTCTTGGGCCATCGCTGTGCTGGCAGCTGCAGGACTGGAAGGGAAGGAGCCGTTGACCAGGAGAAGGTGGCCTCCTGCATTGGAACTGGCCTCAGGAGAGGGACCAGCCTGAGGGTGTGAGGGTCCAGCAGGAAAGGTGGCACAGGCACAGGGCCGGGCAGAGGTGAGGTGTGGGAGGCGCTGGCTTGGCCCTGAGGGTGAGGACTGCCTTCAATCTGCACCCCAGGAGCCTCACTTGCGGCGACCTTGTGCCTGCCCCACACACGCCACCAGGGGAAAGTGAGGGACATTAACCAGGGTGACCTGTGAGGGTGGAGGGCAAGGCTGAGCAGGACCAGGGCCAGAGAGCAAAGGCCACTTCCCTGGCTGGCCAGAGGAGGGCGCAGCTCCAACGGAGGGGACAGGGGCTGTGACCTCAGCGGGGATGCAGCCAACTGAGGCAGCCCCGAGGGAGGGAGCCAAGAACGCGCACCCCAACCCAGCTCCCTTCCTGCTGTCCATCTCCCGTGAGCCTGCACCGCACCGTGGTCAACCCCAATGGGGAAACAGAGGCCAGGGAGCCCCTCGATGCCGGCTGTGGCGGGCAGAACGATGCTCTTCACAGGGATCCATGTGCACATCCCTGGAACCTTCCACGGCAAACGGGACTTTGCAGGTGTAATTAAATAAGACTTTGAGATGGGGAGATTTCTGGATTATCTTGGGCCCAACAGAATCACAAGAGTCCTCAAAGAGGGAGGCAGGAGGGTCAGAGGCAGGGAGCAGAGATACGAGGATGGAACTTGAGGGTCA